TTTCAGTTTCAGCCTCTTATCTGTTGCCACCTGTTGATTCCACCTTTTTGCTTCTCTCACACTTTAGTTGTTCCCTTTATCACAATTGATTCCCTGCTGCCTCTTCCCACGCTTCTTATTAAAAACCCTCACTTCACGTGTTGTATCAGAAATCCAACACCTTGAAATGCTTCATAGTCTTTGAGCTCAATGTTGTGTATTAGTCCAATAAAAAACAAAATTGTGTGAATTTAATATGAGTGTGTTTGTTATATTAAAAACTAAGATTGATTTGACCTTAAGGTAACAAAAATTGGCCAAGAAGAAATGGAACCCATTTATTGGCTAGGAGATCTCGTGTATTTTTGGTTTCCTTGGCCCTATTTTGGGCTATTATGTTATGAGTTCTTCAATTAGGCATTATTTTTTTTTTTTTTTTTTTGTGAGTGTTCAGAGGAGCCTTTAAGTAAATCTATGGGTTTCTTTTAGACAAGTAGAGCATACACATTTTTAGCAGTATGGACTATCACATGAGATAATTTCTCATGGCAAGGATGAGAAAATTCAATCTCTATGTACACATAGGAAAATTCTAATTGATGAATTCCTAATCCTATGGAATATCACTCATGATATATCTCATGTTCGACATGAGTATATCCATGATCATCTTTTTACTTTAATCTCATAGACCAAACACATAAGAGCATTTATCATTGCTATTTCCTATTTTATTCTTGATTCTTTCAAGGTTAAGTGTTATGGTCACAAGGGTTTCCTGATCTTGGCTCCTATAGGTCTATAAGATAGTTAGTCAACTCTTGATACAATAATGTAGACCAATAAATTATCTTAGCTGCATTAATAATAAAGCATTTGTTTCTTTAATGTTATGTCTTTTCCATTTTGTCACGCTTTAGTCCTTCAAGTGTCTCTCCCTCCCTGTAATTAATAAGATAAACTAAAATAAAAGACCCACTTCAAATAGAAGAATTTTCAATTTGGGAACAGACGGTATTCTAAATTTTATTTCATCAAACTCAAATTTGGTTGCCAATGTATTAGTATATGGACATAGTTCAAAATTACTGCAATTCTGAGTTAAGATCTTACTTAGAGTCTTAAATTCACAAATTTTCTGATTGGCCTTTATTTCGGCCCTGGTGATTTCAATGTTAATCTCAAAACGGTGTACATTTGAATTTCAGTCAAGGAGTTTGGTACTGAGAAGCCAAAACAAAGCTATCGTCCAGTTTTCTTTAGAAAGGTTAGTGACAAAAGATTCCTTGTTGATGTAAATCATTGTTCTGTTTAGTGTAGCTATCACGGTTATAATTCTTCTGCCTGGAATTTTTCAGGAGGATTTAGAAAAATCTCTTCACAGAGCATCTCGCCAGCAGAATAAGTTAAATCCTGCTTTCAGAGAGGGTGATATCAGGTATGGATATTTTGACCTTAGTTGGTGAAGCTTTACTTGTGAATTTATTGATTTTTAAATTATGTAGGTTGCTGTTTTCGAGGAAATAATTAAGGGATGAAGGTAAGAAGCGTATGTTGCTCTTCTATTCATATTGTTTCCTCATTTTCAAATCGGGCAAGGAATCAGTATATATTTCATTTAAAGCTAAAACATAAATAAAATACTTTGCAGGAGAGTAATATTCAACATGGAATGATGTTATTTTCATCCCTCCTGGGTTTGATGTTCAACAGTCCCCACCCAGCCATAGGCAACTGGAGAGGCTTGGTGATGATATTTTCAGACTAAATTCTCAAATTTTTATCAATTCTTGTCTTTTGCAATTTTATCTTTTGTCATTACTGCTAATCATATAAATGAAGACATTCTAAAGTTGTGGATTAAATTTGATGTTAATTAGAAATTACTAGTGCAAAACTTGTACCATATCAACCGTTTAGTTTTGTTAGATTTTGATGATGTTATACATTACCTTATCCTTCTTTATCTGATTGGGATTTATATATAAAAGTAATATTATACATACAAATTCTTGTATCGAAGCTTATTTGCTATTCAATCTTTTATTGTTACACCATTCACCCCGTTATATAGTGACTTTTTGAGTTTCATGTTTTCATTTATTTTGTGCTATATCATATTGTATATAAACTTTATTGTGCAATATTATTAACATGTAAATATATCATGGTTATGACTTAAAGCTAATTTGGTTCATGGGTTCGGTGCTAGGTGTTGTATTTTAATTCTCCTTGAAAGGTGATGTAGGATCTCTGAAGATCTCCTGCAATTACTGTCCCAATCAGTGCGGAATTTTTGCTACGTGAAGCTATTACAATTCCCTTCTTATTATCTCATTCAGGCTTAGTTAGGTTGCTGATGTCTCCCATACCAGGATACTAAAGAGCTTTGATACCACTTGACACAGACGAAAGCAAGAGTGGGTCAGAATATTGTTTTGACGCTAACGCTCCTAGAATCCATTAGGTAAATAACTCTGGAATCCACCAAAATTCCTTGAATCCACAGGAAAAAACTCTCAAAGAGAGATTTTATATTTCACCAAAAGTGCCTTATAAGGTTCATAGTAATCCTCTTTTATAGGATAGAGCTTACAAACTGAAATAAGGAAAGGAATAAATTATGCAAACTAGACTCCTTAAATCAAGACAATCAACAACCTAACTTAAGCCTAAAATGATGATAATAAGAACGGAATTTTAATAAGTTAAACGTAGCAAGAAATTCTGATTGATGGGACAATATTTTAGGAGATCTTTAAGATCCTATGTCAAAGTGTATTTGGAGAAACATGAATATCTACCTAATAGATTCCAAGACTGTTACATCTTTATCTGTTGACCTCATTTCGAATTTCAGTTGATGGAATCTAAAATATGTTTGCCTCTTTAATCCGAATTAGGATCCTCTCCTACTCTAAGCTCTAGGAGCTTTTAAAAATCTGTGACATGTACATTTATAGCATTGCGGGTAAGTTTATATCATGTTTTTATTTTTTTTTTACAAACCACCATCACACAGCGGTGTATTTTGTTAAGTAAAAGCTCAAATCAGAGACAATCTTGATCCCTTAATCCTGGCTTAACCTAAACAATCCCTTAACTCTTTGTCTCACTCAGTTTCAAAAATTGGAGAAATAGTTTGAAAATTGTCATCCTAGTTATATTGGCTAATGGGGGTCAACGTTGCCACTTTTAGATGTGAGACCATTGTTTTAAAACTCGATCCGTTGTGAGTTGCAAGCTGATCGAGTCACAGGTCGATCGATCCAACTAGTTGGATTGGTAAGTTGGACAAAAATTAATTAGTCCTGTAAGTTTTAGTCTATTACAAAAATATCCCCAAATTTTAATTTATTAAAAAGCAAAAAAAGTACGAATTATTTCCTAAAGATTTGAAATATTTCATAAACACCATAAAAAATCACAAAGTAACCCTACAAGTTTAAAATATGGTAGAAACCTCCCGTAAAACCTGACCGAAAGAACTGATGGCTATAGCATACCTATTTGATATCTCATCTTTTGCTAAAATCTTGTCATGCGAGTTGTACCAAGCCTTCCCTTGCACCCTATTTCAAGTTTTCAACCATGTTTCCTTTCGAACAACTGACTGCTACACATCAAACCGTTACTGCAATTCTTGATACATTGATATTTGCATGAAAGCAGATGTACAAAAGGACATCTCCAATTATATTATATTTAAATTCAGCAAACAAAATTTGATTCTTGCTGCAGCTATCAACCTTCATTAATCTGTCTTACCATTTTCAGATGCTCGCTGTACCTATCTAATTCTATTCTTCCTAACTGCACCTGAACTACCTGGCATTAACTAAGCACCCACAGCTCCCAAGCTGACATAAACATTATGTCAATTCAATATGATTGCAATATATACAAGCCTGTTCAATTTTCTCAATCTCAAAACCATCCCAAGCTGACATCAATTCAATATGATGGAGAATATACAATCATTTTAGCAATTTTCTCAAGGATTATGTCAAGTAGTAAAAGTCATTTTCTAACAGTCATTAGACTTGACAATGAAAGTTTTTCAGACAGCTCTCCATGAAATTTCAAATATTATCTTGTTCTCTAAATTCAAAACTAGACCATCAACAAGCGTCAAGGCCAATGTGGCATATTCTATTCTTATTCATGTAAGCTACAAGAAATAGCATCTTCGGTAAACATCTACACTCAAGTCACATTACACTGGATACCACATCTACAAATGATAAAACAGTTGAATTTTTCAATTCAAAGCGCTAAAAATGTATTATCATAATGAAGGAAAAGTAGTGGATAAAGACCTGTTATATCTCATCTTTTGCTAAAATCCATATATCATGTGAGTTGTACCAAGCCCTCTGCACCTTGATTATATGGTCATTTCAACCAAAATGAACATGGTACTGTTACTGTAGTTCCTGATATTTGCATGACTGCCCAAGGAGACGAGCCAATTCAAAACTAAACTTAGATGAAAGAAAAAAAACTAAGGTTAACAACCAATTAGGAGAACAAGATATGAGAACACACTAAGGCCAGATTCTCTAAAAATTTGCTAAAATTGGTAAAACCTGTTGCATTGAAAAAGTGCAACAGAAACCAATATTTATTAACGAAACCATCTGGGAAAATAAAAGAGAGTTACTAAAACTAGTTTTCTTTCTCATCTTTATTCACTATGTATTATCTACTCTAGTGTATAACTGCATTCACATTTTAAACCTTTTAAGTTTCCAGAATTGAAAAGTCCTTACTTATTGTTGTGAGTGAATGCTGAAACGACGTCGTATTGAGTATTAGTGGAACGGTATCGTTTTGAGATAGCTCCAGAGGTTCCTGACGCGTGATTCAGAGAAAATCAAACAGATGAAAAACAAGCCACAAATCAACATTATAAAGGATTGAGTCTTTGCGTAAACTGCAGAAAACGCAAGAGAGAGGCTTGTGTTTCGTGTTCTTCGATCTGTTAGGGTTCTTAATTTTCTGGGCTGATTTCAGTTGTAATGTGTGGGTATCTTGAGTGGTTTTGGGTTAATCGTCAAGGGAAGAACTTCTGTGTTCTTGGTATAGGAATTTCCAAGATGAGTATTCTTAGGGCAGATTACGGTTTTTGAATCGGAGTTGTTTGATTTAGGGTTTTTGGGCGTATTCTTGTAATCGTGACTGTAAACGATGGTTCAATATCAATTTTTTCGGGGCCTCTGCTTCAATGGTATTTATTAGGTGTTGCTGTCCATGAAGGGGCAAAGGCTGTAGTTCCTGCTAAAGATATTGTTTGGGATTCTGTTCAGTCTCTTAAATGTTTGTGGGATAAAATGCAATAAGAAAACAAAAGAAATTAGGACAAGTTTTTATTGCATTTGTCTAAACATCAATGCTCCTTGCTAAGAAATAGTTATACCCATATCTTTTTTGTAGTAGTTTGAATTCAGGGCAAGTAAAGTAAATGAAATGAAATTGATATATTCATTAGTTTATCGTTTTTAATTATAGTATAAAAGGGAAACTATTTGTTGCTGTGATAAATTTATGTTCAATAAATATCTTTCTCTCCATTTTTTTTTTTTTTGTGAATTTGTTTTACATGATCTAATTGTTTGCACAATCTTGATTCCATTATAAACCATAAAACTAAACCCAGCGAGCTGAGCATTTTATTTTATTACAAGCCTGGCTCTCTGGATGTTCTCTCTCATGGTCATAGGGTTCTTGCTTTTATAATTGTATGCTTCAGTTAAAAAATTTCTATTGCACTGATTTCAAGGGCTATATTACATAATAATCTCATCATTGTAAGTTTTCTTGAGCTAGTAATTCTATACTCATTTGTTTATTTTTCCCTTTATTTAGGAAAGGGAAAAAGCTGGATTTTCAGAGGATGGCTTCTCTGGGGTACCAGTTTTCCAGGTTCTTTCTTAGCACTGCTGAGTTTGATTGCACGTTTGCGCCACATGTGTCTTTGTTGAATAAAGAATGTTGCATGACATTTTAGAAATTATGTAAATGAACATTGATTTTATAAAGGAATTGATTCTTCCTTCTTCTAGTTTCAATGAATTATTATGGAAAAACAAATAAAAGTTATGAAAATTGTGATAGATATTGGCAAGCGTTGGAATTATTAGGAATTGGGATTATTCGGTATATTTTTGAAGTTATTGGTATTATAAAACAACAATGAAGGCAGCTTAAACTAGGTAAAGAACTATGTTTATGATCTAAGGAAAGACATGCAATTTGTAGTATAAGGTATTTCTTAAGATTGCATAGGTAAGAAGGGCTCATATGAGCCCAATAGTGTTTGCTCATTTGGGATCTTTGAATGGGCAATGATGTTACATATCTACTCGCCCATAAACTAGGTTATCTAGAGTCATGAAACTTAGTGCTAGAAACTATCTACCAGAATTAAGAAGTCTTAAGTTGACTTTTATTTGAAATGAATTTTTTAAGATGAAATGTTCATTAAACATTGCATTGAAATCCATTCATTGACTTGACCTCTTGAAAATATTAGAACTTTAATATGGGGGAATGATATTTTATGATACAGATAAGTAGGATGACTATAAGCTAATATTGGTTGGTAAAGTTGTGGCTGAGGCTTTGTGCTGTAAAATAAATGGAAACCTAAGAAAATTTTAAGATTTTTTAACATGATTAATTATGTTTCTTTTGTCCTGGTTTAAAATTTCAATTTAATTAATTAGTTTTTGGGTATAAAAAGATTGAGGAATGCTACACTACAAACTAGGTATACAATTCATGTGTATAGTCCGATGTGACATTCTTTTTTATTGTCAATTTCTCATCCTCGTTATTGAATATCTTAATGAATTGATTTATCATATATACTCTCACATTCAATTTTTCCATGTCAGTTTGTATATATAGTATTATTTTTAGAAAAGTATTGATTACTTCCTGAAATAATTCAAAAACCTTCATCAAATATCCCTTAATTATATTCCCACAATTTTTGTAAGAATGCGTGGAATACTTGTTTAGACCTGATGCTTTCTCTAGACAACACTCCAGAATGGGTTTTTCGTTCTCCTTGAATTCTTTCTTTAGCCAGGTTGTATGGTCCTCCCTGATGGGATCCCAATTAAGGCTTTGAATTCTTGGTCTGGCTAAACTTGCTTTACAATATAGATTAACAAAATAGCTAAGTCTTCAAGTCTGTTGTCTACCTCAAGAATATTGCCCTCATTTGTGTCAAGTCCATGGGGGAAAATTTTGCTTATTCTCCCATTGGCCATTTCTTGAAACATTCTAGTGTCGATATCCTCCTCTTTAACCCATAAAGCCTTAGCTTTTTGCCTCCACATTACTCCATCCCTAGTATCTAGCTTCTCCAATTTAACTGTGGTTTTACTTCTCTTTGCTATGATCCTCATTCATCAATCCCATCTCTTCCATAGCATCAATGTCTGGAGTTCTGTTTTCAATTCCCTTTGTAACCGAACACTTCCTTATTTTGCCTATTCAACTATGTCTTAATAATAGCAAATTTTCATATAAATGTGTTCTCAAAACCTTTTATCATGCTATGCATTCCACCTAGCTTGAACTCGATGCTTGAATTGATGATTTGTCACTGTGTAAGCTATATTGTCTCATATCTGAAAGGCACTGGACCGTAAACCAGAACATTAGAATCTAAAAGAATGGGACAGTAATCAAAAGTCATTCTAGGAAGTGCTTCCTGTCTAATGAAACATCCCCTCTCTTCCCAAGAAGAAAAAAGAACCCTATTAAATCTTTAGCAGGTAGGTTTTTTTCTTTTGCTGGACCAGGTAAGTTCTATCTTCAAGGCTTGATCTATCTTAATGTAGCGAAAGCCCTCATACACTGGGAAATCTTCTCCCTGTAGATTTTTCTTGAGTAGAAAATTTACAGCGTTAAGATTACCCCTTTACACAAGTCCGGACTGCATAAGACATAGAGACCAACTAGCTGCTTTTAAATCTCATCCAGTTCAGTGGGTTGGGCCCATAAACCCCAGTCAGTCACCACTCTTGGCTATAGTGGATTGAGTTTTGATGGAAATAGAGAACTTCACCAATACTATTATCTAATACATTGATCATCTTGGGGTCACTTTCCTTGGCCTCATTTTCTTCCCTTCTACTGCTACTTGTTTTTGAATCCTGACTTCTTCAACATCTTTTATTGTACTTGAAGCGTTTGTGCTACTACTAGTTATAACTTCCTCTTATTGCCACTTTCCATATTCCTCATCTTTCTTTCAAACTATTGACAATCGAAATGAACCCGGTATGAGTTTCCTTCACCTTGATTTTAGCTTCCTCTGGACAGAACCTATCAATCGTGTCCTCGTGTATCTCTATGAATCGACCACATCTATTTTCTTTGCAAGATATTCACCTTAGACATGGTAGGCATTGAATTTCCTCTCAATCTTTCTTTACGGATTGTTCTTTTCTACTATTCACATTAGGGAATCGTTTAATTAATTGAGCATGTATCTTTTCAAAACCGTTCTTTTTGCTTACCTCACGCTACAGTTGATATACTGCTTTGCTATCTTGGAAGTGCAATAGTCTGTGGGATCTCTTGAATTAGTGCTCAAGTGCTTTCTGGATGTCTTTCCCATTCATCAATTAGCATTGTACCCCTTGCGCACCATTTTCTTGTTTCACGAACCTACTTATACCATCTTAACACAATTTGCACATGATTTATTCCTGTTAGGTTCTATATATCTCCATTACGAGCTGACTGGAATTTTTGTACAGTCTTTCAAAATTGTTCTCATCTTTATTAATGTCTCTTAAGGTCTCTGTGACTTTCATCCTCCATCCCCCCAGATAGTTCCATGTACAATAGTTCTTTGCACAGTTGTTTTCCACTTGCAATTTCTGATTATGCTAATTATGGGTCCTTTCCTGTTTTTTCCTGACACACCTGATAAGAAGACTGAAGATTCTAAAGAAATTAGTTTTAGGTTTCTCTAAAATAGTTTATGATATCTTCTTTCCTATGCAGTCAACATCCCCTCCTCCACTTACTGTGTAGCTTTTATATCTATTTTACTCATTTTTTAAAGTACAAAATGGAGTAAATAACAAACCTACTCAATAGATTGATATAGCAAATTTATAGCTTAATGTATGATTCTCAAGTTAAAGCTCAAAGTTTTTTTATTTTTCACGTATATAAAATGATTAGGATGTATAGAAAGCTCAAATAGTGTGAAAAACATGAAATGGAGGGTTATTTTAGAAAGTCTAAAACGATTGCCATTAATAGTGCTTAAATATAAATTTCATTTTGCACCAAACTGGAACTTCTTTTTTTATGTGAAAAGTTAATAGTCTTTGATGTGAAATCCAACACCTTGAAATGCTTCATAGTCTTTGAGCTCAATGTTGTGTATTAGTCCAATAAAAAACAAAATTGTGTGAATTTAATATGAGTGTGTTTGTTATCATTAAAAACTAAGATTGATTTGACCTTAAGGTAACAAAAAAATTGGCCATGAAGAAATGGAACCCGATTTATTGGCTAGGAGATCTCGTGTATTTTTTGTTTACTTGGCCCCATTTTGGGCTATTATATTATGAGTTCTTCAATTAGAGCATTATGTTTTTTTTGAGTGTTCAGAGGAGCCTTTAAGTAAATCTATGGGTTTCTTTTAGACAAGTAGGAGCATACACATTTTTAGCAGTATGGACTATCACATGAGATAATTTCTCATGGCAAGGATGAGAAAATTCAATCTCAATGTACACATAGGAAAAATTCTGATGATTAGGATAAATTCACTAATCCTATGGAATGTCACTCATGATATATCTCATGTTCGACATGAGTATATCCATGATACATCTTTTTACTTTAATCTCATAGACCAAACACATAAGAGCATTTATCATTGCTATTTCCTATTTTATTCTTGATTCTTTCAAGGTTAAGTGTATGGTCACAAGGGTTTCCTGATCTTGGCTCCTATAAGTCTATAAGATAGTTAGTCAACTCTTGATACAATAATGTAGACCAATAAATTATTCTTAGCTGCATTAAATAATAAAGCATTTGTTTCTTTAATGTTTATGTCTTTTCCATTTTGTCATGCTTTAGTCTCTTCAAGTGTCTCTCCCTCCCTGTAATTAATAAGATAAACTAAAATAAAAAGACCCACTTCAAATAGAAGAATTTTCAATTTGGGAACAGACTTGGTATTCTTAAATTTTATTTCATCAAACTCAAATTTGGTTGCCAATGTATTAGATATATTGGACATAGTTCAAAATTTACTGCATATTCTGAGTTAAGATCTTACTTACGGTCTTTAAATTCACAAATTTTCTGATTGGCCTTTAATTTCGGCCCTGGTGATTTCAATGTTAATTCTCAAAACTGTGTACATTTGAATTTCAGTCAAGGAGTTTGGTACTGAGAAGCCAAAACAAAAGCTATCGTCCAGTTTTCTTTAGAAAGGTTAGTGACAAAAGATTTCCTTGTTGATGTAAATCATTGTTCTGTTTAGTGTAGCTATCACGGTTATAATTCTTCTGATCCTGGAATTTTTTCAGGAGGATTTAGAAAAATCTCTTCACAGAGCATCTCGCCAGCAGAATAAGTTAAATCCTGCTTTCAGAGAGGGTGATATTCAGGTATGGATATTTTTGACCTTATGTTGGTGAAGCTTTACTTGTGAATTTATTGATTTATTAAATTATGTAGGTTGCTGTTTTCGAGGAAATAATTAAGGGGATGAAGGTAAGAAGCGTGTGTCGCTCTTCTATTCATATTGTTTCCTCATTTTCAAATCTGGGCAAGGAATCAAGTATATATTTCATTTAAAGCTAAAACATAAATAAAATACGTTTGCAGGAGAGTAATAATTCAACATGGAATGATGTTATTTTCATCCCTCCTGGGTTTGATGTTTCAACAGTCCCCACCCAGCCATAGGCAACTGGAGAGGCTTAGGTGATGATATTTTTAGACTAAATTCTCAAATTTTTATGCAATTCTTGTCTTTTGCAATTTTATCTTTTGTCATTACTGCTAATCATATAAATGAAGACATTTCTAAAGTTGTGGATTAAATTTGATGTTAATTAGAAATTACTAGTGCAAAACTTGTACCATATCAACCGTTTAGTTTTGTTAGATTTTGATGATGTTATACATTACCCTTATCTACTTCTTTATCTGATTGGAGATTTATATATAAAAAGTAATATTATACATACAAATTCTTGTATCGAAGCTTATTTGCTATTCAATCTTTTATTCTTACACCATTCACCCTTGTTAATATAGTGACTTTTTGAGTTTCATGTTTTCATTTATTTTGTGATATATCATATTGTATATAAACTTTATTAGTGCAATATTATTAACATGTAAATATATCATGGTTATGACTTAAAGCTAATTTGGTTCATGGGTTCGGTGCTAGGTGTTGTCTTTTAATTCTCCTTGAAAGGTGATGTAGGATCTCTGAAGATCTCCTGCAATTACTGTCCTCAATCAGTGCGGAATTTCTTGCTACGATGAATCTATTACAATTCCCTTCTTATTATCATCATTTCAGGCTTAAGTTAGGTTGCTGATTGTCTCCCATACCAGGATACTAAAGAGCTCTGATACCACTTGACACAGACGAAAGCAAGAGTGGGCCAGATATTGTTCTAACGCTAACGCTCCTAGAATCCGTTAGGGTAAATTAACTTTGGAATCCACCAAAATTCCTTGAATCCACAAGGGAAAGAAACTCTCAAAGAGAGATTTTATATTTCACCAAAAGTGCCTTATAAGGTTCATAGTAATCCTCTTTTATAGGATAAAGAGCTTACAAACTGAAATAAGGAAAGGAATAAAATTATGCAAACTAGACTCCTTAAATCAAGACAATCAGCAACCTAACTTAAGCCTAAAATGATGATAATAAGAACGGAATTTTAATAAGTTAAACGTAGCAAGAAATTCTGATTGATTGAGGACAATAATTGTAGGAGATCTTTAGAGATCCTATGTCAAAAGGTAATTTGGAGAAACATGAAGATCTATCTAATAGATTCCAAGGCTGTTACATCTTTATCTGTTGACCTCATTTCAAATTTCAGTTGATGGAATCTAAAATATGTTTTGCCTCTTTAATCAGAATTAGGATCCTCTCCTACTGTAAGCTCTTATGAGCTTTTAAAGATTTAGTGGCATGTACATTTATAAGCATTGCGGATAAGATTTATATCATGTTTTTATTTTTTTTTACAAACCACCAATCACAGCAGTGTACTTTGTTAAAGTAAAAGCTCAAATCAAGAGACAATCTTGATCCCTTTAATCCATGGCTTAACCTAAAACAATCCCTTAACTCTTTGTCTCACACAGTTTCAAAAATTAGAGAGAATAAGGTTTGAAAATTTGTCATCCTAGTTATATTGGCTAATGGGGGTCAACATGTCGCCACTTTTAGATGTGAGACCATTGTTTTAAAACTCGATCCGTTGTGAGAGTTGAGTTGGCAAGGTGATCGATCCAACTAGTTGGATTGGTCAGTTGGACAAAAATTTTAATTAGTCCTGTAAGTTTTAGTATATTACAAAAATATCCCTGAAATTTTAATTTATTTAAAAAAAAGCTCAAAAAATTACGAATTATTTTCTAAAGATTTGAAATATTTCATAAACACCATTAAAAAATTACAAGTTTAAAATATAGTAGAAACTCCCGGAACCGAAAGAACTGATGGCTATAGCATACCTATTTGATATCTCATCTTTTGCTAAAATCTATGTCATGCGAGTTGTACCAAGCCTTCCCTTGCACCCTAATGATATGGTCATTCTCATTTCAACCAAAACGAGACAAGGTAACCATGTGTTTCCTTTTCGAACCAAGACTGATTGCATGATTGCCCAAGGAGACGAGCCAATTCAAAACAAAATTTCGATGTGTCCAAAAACAATCTTTTAGAAGGAAAAAATAATTAGAAAGTCTTTATTAACTATAAATGGTCACCTATTGTGCAAAAAGGAGCATCTCCAATTATAATATATATTTAAATTCAGCAAACAAAATTTGATTCTTGCTGCAGCTATCAACCTTCATTACCATTTTCAGATGCTCGCATGTACCTATCTAATTCTATTCTTGCCTGACAATGGACCTGAACTACCTGGCATTAACTAAGCTGACATAAAAAACTATTATATCAATTCAATAATATACAAGCCATTGTTAGCAATTTTCCCAAGCTGACATCAATTCAATATGATTGGAGTCATTGTTAGCAATTTTCTCAAGGATTAGTAAAAGTCATTAGAGCCTTGACAATGAAAGTTTTTCAAATATCATCTAAATTCAAACATAGACCATCAGCAAGCGTCAACGCCAATGTGGCATATTCCTATATCTTATTTCATGTAAGCTACAAGAAATAGCATCTTCGGTAAACATCTACACTCAAGTCACATTACACTGCATCTACAAATGATAAAACAGTTGAATTTTTCAATTCAAAGCGCTAAAAGAATGTATTATCATACTGAAGGAAAAAAGTAGTGGATAAAGAACTGATGGCTATAGCATACTTATTTATATCTCATCTTTTGCTAAAATCTATAGATCATGTGAGTTGTACCAAGCCCTCCCTTGCACCTTGATTATATGGTCATTTCAACCAAAATGAGACATGGTCACCATGTCACTTTCAAACTGTTACTGTAGTTCCTGATACAATGACTGCCCAAGGAGACGAGCCAATTCAAAACTAAACTTAGATGTGTCCATTAACTTGATGAAAGGAAAAAAATAACACTAAGGTTAAACAACCAATTAGGAGAACAAGATATGAGAACACACTAAGGCCTAATTCTCTATAAAATTTGCTAAAACCCTGTTGCATTGAAAAAGTGACAACAGAAACCAATATTTATTAGACGAAAAACCATCTGGGAAAATAAAAGAGAGTTACTAAAACTAGTTTTCTTTTCTCATCTTTATTCACTATGAATTATCTACTCTAGTGTATAATAACTGCATTCACATTTTAAACCTTTTAAGTTTCCAGAATTGAAAACAAGTCCTTACTCATTATAGAAAAAATTGATTGCCCAAATCATCATCAAAAGGACTCCATAATAATGATCTTCTAGTGTTAGATGAACCAAAGTGTTAACGTAAAAAGAAATCAATGAGACAAACAGAGACGACCTTCAATGAAAAAAATATATGCTCCTATCATAAAACTTTATCTACATATAGTTGTGTAATTACCGTGATAATGAGGATGAAATTTTCAATTTCAATAAATCATAAATGGATGCTTTGATGTAATGTGACATAGGAATGAATTAAAAGAATGTTAATGATGAATAAAGGAAAAAGTAAATTAATTCACTGAAAATTCCAGCATGGTAAGACAAGGAAAATCCCATTGGGTCCAATTTCCTTAACCTGCCACTGCCTTTGACAGGTTTATACTCTCCCAAGCTGATCAACCCTACCACCAATTCATCTTTTTGGAATCTAAACTAGTAAAACCAATCTTCACCAACAACAATGAGTAAATTAGACTTAAAACTCATACCAAATAATTATGCAACTCTCCACTTAGAAGCCATATTTCGAACCATACTCCAACATTTACAACTAGCTAACCTTGATATCCAAATCTCTATTTTGATAACATCAGATAAACTTAAATCCATAAAAAACGAAAAAAAATAACAATTCATAAGACATTGCATCATAAAATTAAAATTAAATTCAAGAGTTACACTTTCCAAAAACTTTAACAAATTAATAAGTCCCACCTTTCCAACATGCTGAAGTCCAAGTGCAAGACTCCACCATTTGAATACTAAAACAAAAGATGAAAAAAATAGGATGAGAAAATATTGTGACATACATATGCAAAATATAACAGTAGCAAAAGAAAACGACAAAGGATCAATAAGGTTTGATATTTTTCAGAAAAGAGCAAAGAAGAACTTGGAAGACATCCTATTCTTGTACCATTATAATGGCAAGAATGATATATGTACATTTACAAGATAAATATTTGATTCAAGGTTGGACCATCATAAAAAAATCTCGAATGTATGAAGGAGGGCATTGGAAGCATCTTTCAACAAACATACAGTAGTTTCAAGAACTGATTAAAATTCATGAAATCGACTAGCAAATAGACTTATGAAGTGGCCTTCAATTACTGTAAAAAGATACAAAAGACTTGATAACCAAAAGTAGATATGATTCCCATAATGTCTGCAGAATCAACAAAGATAAACAAAAAAGAGTCCAATAACCAGAAAGACATTAAACCTTAGTCTAATAAAGAAGTAAAAAAAGTGAGAAAAATGCTTTATCCTAGTTTTCTTGCCACTATGCACCTATGCACTCAAAAAGACGAAAATCAGAGTAATTTCTAGATTGTCGTCGCTTGTACAATTCATTGCAACTCGATTCCCCTTTAAAATACTAAACTTGAGGCGCATAGTGTTTAGTCATTTGCAGAATCTCTACAATCTGTCCTTTATACAAAGAATTCAAACATTATTAAAAAAAAAAAAAAAAAAAAAACGAAGCAGGTTGAAGAACAAAAATATGAACGCGAAAACTTAAATTCCAAATTAGAAATTCTAAGAAGGCAGCCGGTACAGAAATTGAAAATGCAAAAAATTAAAAAGAGTAACATTAGCCTTACAAAGAGACGTATAAAGAGCCATACAAAGAAACAATCCTTACCCTTAAAATTCATGATTGCCTATCTCTCTCTCTCTCTTTCCCTTCTTTTAAGGGCAAAGATTATCTCTTTATATGCCTCTTTGTAAGGCTAGTGTTATTCAATTAAAAAACTCATAGCACAAATTTTTCCCACCATATTGCAGTTGGAGTGGCACTTTTCAACAAATCTAGCTTTTTCGGGCAACTCTCACTATTATCCTTACTACAATATTCAATAGAAAACTTCAAATGAGTAATCTCATTTCCTAGATGCCTACAGGAGAAATGACAAGAAGATGCAATTTATATTCTACTCTTACTTAAAGAGGTCCATCATCATTTCTAGATTTAATACCACCTTGACACTGTGC